AGTCTAGAGCCTGTGACTGGGCTGTGTCAGTGTACTGGACTCCACAGGGACTAGAAGAGTCTAGAGCCTGTGACTGGACTGTGTCAGTGTACTGGACTTCACAGGGACTATAACAATACAGCGAACTGTGACTGGGCTTTGTCTATGAACACCACACTTGACTTCCCTTAATTCTCCTGTTTACTCCAAAAGGTTGTACTGTTTTCAAGGAGCTCTTCAGGAAGATGTAAATCTGAGGGGCTTTTCTCTGCAACTACCCAGAGAAGAGTTCAAGACTCGCCCCCTACGCACTGTTACACACACACGCACACACACGCACACACACACACAGGGTGAAAACTCTCTGAAGCTCATGACCATCCCTGAACCTTCACTGTGCAAATCCGTACACATGTGAAACACGTCCTCCTGCTCGTTCCTCTTTTCACACTCCCTCTGGTTAGCTGCTGCACAGAGCAACAGAACCCCTGTCCTGCCACAGGACAGCACTCATATGATATTACCCAGAGACCATTGCAGTTGGCGGTTTCCTGTCCCCAGTAGACTCCTTCCAGAATCTGCTACCTAATCTGCTAGAGCATAATGTACAACATGCTCTGAGCCAGCTGTCACGTCTACCTTCAAATTTGCATATTTGCCTTAAACAAGGATCTGAATGTGTTTTCCCCTCGACACAGGTTTCCTGCAATGCTTTACTGCAGTTTTCAACACTTCAGTCTGCTTTTATCACTAAGCTTTTCTGCATTTTACTGTGCTTTAGCATGATCTCTCTGTACTTTACTTCACTGCTGTGCTTTACTCTGTCCACGATGTCAGTCCTGGGTTTAACACTCCCCTGTGCAGCCCTAAGCTGGATTCAGATCACCAGCACTGTGCTGTACTGCTGCTGCACTGAAACCACAGGCCTGGTCTGAGAAGAAACCCACTGCAGGGCCGTTTCCCACACTGCAGACTGAATGAGCTAAGAGAGACGTAAACTCAGATAAACAGCCCCAATATCTGCCTCTTCTCTTTTTATAGTTTCAGACCTTTTACATTTAGTGTGTGAATTTCTGTACAGTTATCTTATTTTTCTATCATATGAAGATGAGCAGAAAAGTTTCTAGCTTGATATCACAAAAGAAGATTATGATAGAGATCTTTGCTAATGCACTTGTTTGTAGTTCACACAGGGACATATTTAATCTGCCAAGTCACAGTATTTTAGATTTCACTTATTGTCTTTCTTTTGGACATAGAATATTGAAAATACCGTGTGTGTTTAATAGCTCAATCCGGATGCGGCAGATAACCGTTCGTTCTTGAATCTCCTTTGGTTCCTCGTTGTCATGGCCTGGACCGACCTGCACTCTGCGGCTGCTAGACTGGACAGGGACACCTCTCACTCAGACAAGTTTCCAGTCCAGATCTCACTCAGTCTGTCAGGTTCCTTATTGAAGACACTGCAAGCCGCTGTGTCATTTGAGCTCCCAGCACTCGCCTCACGTCTGGCTAGTGAATCTTTACTTATGTTTGTTCCCTAACTGGCGACATGCCAGCAGAGAATTCTCTCTTTGTCATATCTCCAGATTGTAAGTCCTCTCCCTGCTGGTCATATCTGTATTTTTTCCTTTGATTTATTTTCTACAGCATTTTGGCTGGGAGTCTTGCTTTTCCTAGACAGTTTTTCAAAAGCAAAATTCTCCCTTCCACCTGCCTGCATCAGCTCTCTCTGAATTCACTGTCCTAGACATTCACCACTTCAATCGAGAAATCTTGAACAGCGCTGTGAGAGCTGTGCTTGGACATAGACCAGTCATTGCTCCGCAGCTCAGAGCAGCAGCTGCAGCATTACGCTAATACCATGGAAAAGAGGACCTACTCCCCTGAAGCCGATGTGTTGTATCAGGATGGAGGTTTTACAGTCCATTGCTGCTCAAGCTGCTGATCTTCAGGGAAGGGCTTAGAGATTTTTAAGACATCTCAGCCTTCTCTTTGGCTATTGAGTAGATAACAGTGAGAAAACACGGATTGTGGAAAGAGCGATAGGGGGTTGCTTTGATAATCGCACAGGGCCCTGAAACTCATTCCTGAAGCTTCATGGTTTGTGTTACAGTGATATGCTTCCTCAGTTTTAACATTGAGACATCAGAGATGGATGGACGAAGGCAAACACTGATGATGATGGCAAAAAACACACTTTATTTTACGTTTCTGGTCTTTTTGTCAAATTAAAGGCAGATTACATTGTGATTGAAAATCTAAAGTCAAATCTGATTTTTTTCCAGATGCCCCCAAGAACACCTCAGTGTCCATCAGCCCCTCTGGTGAAATAGCAGAAGGCGGTTCTGTCACCCTGACCTGCAGCAGCTCTGCAAACCCTCCAGTGAAGAACTACACCTGGTTTAAGCTCAGTGGAACTGGTCCATTATATAAAGGATCCAACTACACCATTATTAACATCAGCTCTGCAGACAGTGGACAGTACTACTGTGAAGCTCGGAATCAGATTGGTGCTCTGAACTCTACTGCCGAGACTCTCACTGTAAAACGTAGGATATATTTTCCATGCTGTGATGGTCTGCTTTGGCATTGTCTCTGGTCTCGCGTCACTAGGCTGCTGGATTTAGGGCTGCAGAACGATTGTTTGTAACCTTTGACCTCTGTCCATTTAGGATCTCAACAGAACGTGGTTGCTTGGTGGGTGACAGCAGCTGTGGTCGCCATCGTCTTGGTTGTGGTCATGGTCATGGTCGTGGTCATGGTCGTGGTTCTGCTGAGCCGGTATGTCTCTGAGCACCTGTTCCTGCACCAGCAGGTCCTCTCTTCTGCACACAGTATGGCGATGAGCCCTTGTCTGCCATGAGTGTGCCTTGTGGCTCTCAGTTTGGGTTTGACTGGGTCACCTCCTCAGCTAACTGAGCTGGGGATTCCAGAAAATATCAGAGCCCGGGTAACAGTGTGCCCCAGAGCATATGGTTGGACAGGAGAGTATTAGCTGGACAGGAGTCTTTCTCAGCCCCCAATGGCGGCTCCTGCGACTTCTCTGGGCAGTGAGGTCAGCGAGAGTCGCGTTGCTGCTCCAGTTGACACCACGCCCCCTGTTGGGCAGCTGGTGGAATCTGTGAAGGAGCAGGTGAATGGCCTTGACTGGTGGGCGGAGGAGCACATGAGCTCCTCCCCCGTCCCCCGGTGGGCGGGGCTTCTTGCCCTTTCATGGGCACTACAGAAGCAGCATTCCAATCAGTTGTTACAGCCAATGTCTTGAGAGACTACTGGAAGAATTGTGTTAATGACACATCTGTAACTTCTCCTTTCCCTGAAGCACAGAAGGTACTGGGAACAATCAGGCCCGGGGAACTGATGTATTTGAAGTGATTCCAGTAACCTGTAGCACTTCCGTTGCCTCTTCTGTTCCAATCGTAATTAATATTGAACGTCCTCTGACTTCTGCCTAAACGATGTTGTATATTTCTTTCTTGATCACTGCCTGAGCAAAATATTCATTTGAATACATTAGCCACTTCCCTTTAATCGTCAGGAGGCTTCCCATTATCATCCCTGTGACACATAACTTCATCCTTTTCTATTCTTTTGCTGCTGTAATACTGAACAAATTACATATTTTTACTGTATTTATTGTAGCCTCCATTTGCTACCATCCTTCATGTTCTGACTCATAGCCTGCTTTCCAGAAACTGTAAGCCTTAGGTGTCAACTCCACCAGTCCAATTCCAACATGTACTTCAAAAGCACAGTCCTCTAATGTTACTTTTCCTTTACTCAATAATCAAGGTTATTTGAAAAGACTACACCAATACAGACACTTCCTCCAGCAGCTGTTTTGACACACTGAGTAAGAAAGCAGTCACTACCTATGTCTACTATTTCAGTTTCTGCTGCTGAGTTTCCTAATATAAGGCCTTTCCCATTCTCTGTGAGGCAAATTCAACTCTCCCACTAATACCACATCTTCCTTTACATGTGTTCACAATATCATTATATAAGGTGGAAATATGATGAAGTATGAATTAGGTGATCTGTGGCACACTCTCAACATGATGTCTGGTGAATGGTTTTATAACTCAATAGTTCTGCCATCTTCACTTTATCAAAAGTTTGTGCCTGTGCTTGAATGCTATTTTCCTGTACAGTGCTACACCTCATCCCTCTTCTATCTTTCCTGTCTCTCTGGAACACCGGGTGTCCATTAATAGGTGCCTACGAATGCAATAGCTTTGGGTAGTCTGTAACTAATTAATCCCAGTATCCCGTCCAAATGTTTCTTTAATGTTTCTTGAAAGAATTCCGGTTACAGTCCTTTGCAGCACAGCTGGGTCGGATGTTCCAATCTCCAACACATTTCTGATTGTGTTTGAGTGGCCCACGTGAACCCAGTAGAAAATGTGTGGCAAGAAAATGTGTGTTGAAAATGAATCAACAATCCCCAATTAACCTGACAGAGCTTGAGCACTTTTGCACAGAGGAATGCATGCACATTGCACCATCCCAGTGTGCACAGCTGTTAGAGACTCATTCAAAAAGACTCAGAGCTGAAATGGCTACCAGAGGTCCTTCCACCAAGTATGGACTCGGGGGTGAATACTTTAATTTTTGAGTTTGCAGCTTTTCTGTCATTCTTGCTGTGTAACATCTTTCCATGATAGTGTTCAGTTTGAGCCTTCATGTTTTGATTGAAAATATTCAGTTCTAAAGATTGTGCTCACATCATTGGCCATTCATGTTGGATGAGGGTGAAGGCTTTGGCCAGGTGCTGCACTGTGACACCTCCTCCCTGTTGAGATTTCAGGGTACGTAACTCCATGCTGTGGGATTTGTCTCTTTCTTCCATGACACAGTGTTCTCTGAGTATCTGCAGCTCATACACACATTCTCAGGACTGTGAGAATACACACCTTTAACGGACCTCACAGCTCGGCCAGCACATGGCAGATGACATTTACTGCAGACAATTACAGGCAGCAAAAACAGGAACTATGAGTATCAAATGACATTAAATAATGTTGAGTTTGAAGAAACTACATGAAAAAGACTAATGCATTTATGTTGACACATCACTTTCATTTTCCAGTGTACAAGCAGTGTAAAAGCAATGTCCTGTACTGGCAGGCTTTAGGGACTGAATTGGTTTACTCTCAAACTGAGAAGACTTGCAGTGAACCTGATTCAAGTGTTAAAAATCCTCAAAAGGACCTGACAAAACTCATGAACTACTTTAGAATTAACAGTGACTATGTGGAAGTGCCTTTTAAAACCGAGACAGGAGGCAATCCTTTATGCAGAGGGTGGTGGGGGTGTGGAACAAGTTGCCAGCCATGTTGTTGAAGCTGATACCCTGGATTATTTCAAGAAACAGCTGGATGAGATCCTGGGATCAATTCGAGAATAACTCTACTAGGCTAAATGGGTTGAATGGCTCCTCTTGTTTGCAGACATGTTCATCTATTTATACTGTACATCTCCTGTTATACACTACACGCATATTGGCTGTTGTTTGTAATTTTCACAAAGCATTTGGTGGTTCCTCATTTGGTTATAAACCTCAACCACGATGTTTGAAATGTATGTCTAGAACCACTGTTTTTTTAATATCTGGTTGGACAGCTGGTCTCAGACACCAACATATGTGGCACATTTCCCTCTGGAACACAAATTCCAGAGCAACGCCCCATTATGGTGACTGGGGGCACTGTGCTGTCTTTCAGGTGAGATGTGAAACTGAGGCCCTGCCAGCTTGGTTATTGAAGATCCCAGGATTGATTGTAAAATTAACCACAGTGTTCAGGCTGTGCAATGGGGCTGCTGGTGCAGAATGGCTGCTGTGTGTCGCCCAGGTGGGGCCGCTGGTGCAGAATGATCACTTGTCTCCCAGGTGGGGCTACACTTCAGTGGGGGATGAAGCAGGCTTCCTTCTGTACTGTATGTAAAGCACTATGGGATCATTAGAAATAATCGATATAAATGCAAATTAATGTTTTAGCATGTGGATCAACATACATGCCTTGCCAGAGTTTTGGAAATATAATAAACCATGCACGCAATGACATGGATGGACTATCGTCTCTCAATTCAGATGGTCTCCATTGTTTCTTCTTTGCAGGAAGAAGACTTTAAGGTCAAAGAGGGAGGATGAAAGCATAGATATGGACCAACAGGTAAAGTGAAACCTATTCCCTTGTCTTCAATCAGGGGTTCCTTAATCCTGGTCTTGCAGATCCATATCTGCAGGTGTTTCTTCCACCTGAGCATGCAAGTAAGTCGTTTAATTCTTTAATGGACTTAATAAAATGGGCAACCTAAACTCTTTTTTTTTCATTGTGTTCGGTTTGGTAACATGTAGGAGGTTTGATTTTAAACTATAGTGTTTCGTAAGTAACCCAAAATCTCCAAAATTGTAGAAGAAAATGATATTGCAGAGGTTCTCATCAAGCAACACGGTGGTTCAATTAAGGATCAATTTAAGTCAAGAGCTCAGCTGCAATGAAACCCAGGTCGGGGTCCCCAGGACCGGGACTGGGAGCCCCTGTCTTGTGCATCCAGGAGTTTCTGAATGGTTACTGGGGTCTGAGGTGTCCGCCTGTCAAATCGGTAGGAACTAAATGATGGGCCTGGGTTTTCACAGTCTTTTTGAGAAGAACAGACCAAGAGCTTGTATTTGTTGCTGCTACAAATCAGGTCATGTCAGGACGGTGTCTCCTGGAAAATCTCAGGAGCTTCAGGCCTTGCAAGCCAGCTTGAGCTCTTTAGTTATTGGAATTAACGCAGAAGTTCTCCCTGTGAGACAAACAGGAACGTATTTATTTCAATACATTTGTCCCAGCACCGATCCCCTAAGACACACAATTCATTCCACCTTCCAACGTCTGTTGGACCACTGAGCTTTAATTCAATTATCCAATTAGTGAAGCAATTAAACCAATGAAGCAACCAAGAGTAAGTGAAACAAGTCGGGAACGGTGACCCTCTGGGTGTGGCTGAGACCTCAGCTCTTCCCTCGTTCTTTCTCCTCCCCAGGACAAAATCAACACCGTGTACGCCAATGTGACACCCGCCCAGGGCCATGCCCCCCCAGCAGAGGAGGGGGACAAGGAGGACAAGGGGAACCCGGACGATGATGAGGTTCACTACGCCACCTTCAACTTCCCAGCCGGCGCCACCGCCAGCTCTTCTGAAAGGTGATCCCCCCCCTTCTCTCCTCGTCCACATACCCCACCCTGAGCGCACCCCAGAATCCTGCCAGGGCTCGGGGAAAGCAGGGACCCCCTGCATCTAGACAGTGGCCTTCAGAGCTGAGCCAGAGCTGGGTATGTTCAGGAACTGTTTCAATTGGCAGCGAAACATCTGCAAACCTGCAGCAAACCCGCAGGTCACCTGACCAGACTTCTGACTCCCTAGATTTGTTTGCCTGCCTGTGCCATTGGAGTTTTAAATTCCAGCCTTTGAACTATAAGATGAAGATCAGCTAGAATGAGAATTCCCACATCACTGCCCATTACTGTGATACTGTGCTGTGGGAGATGTTGTCCTTTCACTGAAATGTTAAGACAAGCTCCTGACTATGTGGCCATGAAAGATCCCATTCAACAGATCGCTACAGTAGAGGTATTAACTCCAGCTCAGTACTGGGGTGGAACCTGGTTACTGTAGTCCATTTGGTGGACCAGTAGGGAGTGCTGTTACCCTGGACCCATTATGGTGGCTGGGGTCACTGTGTTGTGTGATCAGGGGCGCTGGGATGACTACTTGAGCAGTAGAGTTCCCATGGCTGTGCATAAGCGTAAGGGTGTTAACCCTTGTGTCCCAGAACAATTCCACTCTGGATCTGCACAGTCCAACTTCCCTAAATTTGCTCTTAACGTAATTGAAAGCCCCTCCCCGGCCTGCTGTGCATAATGTTTCCCA